CCCTGTAATCCTAGCACTCAGGAGGTAGTCCAAGGCCAGCCTGAGGTACATAGGGAAACCTTGTCTCAAAAAAAGTTTTTAAATGTCAGTGAGTACATGCTCATTGTGTTGTTGTTTTTTTAAAAAAAGTCTTAAGGGAGTGAACAAAAAGATGAAGCTTCCAGGCAACCCATTTGGAACCCCTCCTGTCTCTTGGGAGCTATTCCTATTCCCCAATAAATTTTTCTACTCTTAAAAAAAAAAAAAAGACAACGCTTCCTCCCAAAGATGTACCGTAATCCTTTAGTGCACTGGTGAACCTATGGCACACGTGCCACAGCCGGCTATTTGTTGTCATTGAAAGCTCTAAAAGGTTCACCATCGCTGGTTTGCAGTGTATCTTTTGAGGCTTTTACGCATATAGGCCATTTTTTTCCAACTCCTAATAAAATTTTTCATCATATAGAAAAATGGGAACCAGGCATGGTGGGTGGAACATGCCTTTAATTCCAGCACTTAGGAGGCTGAGGCAAGAGGATCACCATGAGTTCAAGGCCAGCCTGGGCTACATAATGAGTTCAAGGACACTCTGGACTAATAGTGAGATCCTGTCTCAAACAAAACAAAACAACAGAAAAATGGATTTTTTTTTTTTTTTTTTTTTTTTTGGCACTGGGGATTGAACTCAGGACCTTTGGCTTGCAAGGCAGGCAGTGGCACCACTGAGCTAAATCCCTGGCCAAATGGAAATTTTTTTACAGTGGACACACAATATCCCATCATCTAGATTCTATTACTAACATTTTCCATTATCAGATTTATCATCTATGTATATATACCTGTTTTAATCTATTTTTAGGTTTACTCCAAAGTAAATTGCAATTTATCAGTATACTTCCTAGTGTTGCAGGTGTAACTCAGTGGTAGTGTTTGCCTAGCATGGGTGAGGCTTTAGGTTTGATCCCTTCAAGTCCCTTCCCTTCTAGTCCCACTATGTTTCGCTGCTTTTTAGTATTTACATGAAAGAGCTCATGCTATAATACTATTCTAAAACTTGGAGAATATATTGAGTTTCCATGTGAGTTCATATTTTAGATCTTTTATTTCTACTTTGTTTTTTGTTTTTTGGGGGGTTTTTTTTTGGCACTGGGGATCGAACTTGGGACCTTGTGCTTGGGAGGCAGGCAGCAGAACCACTGAGCTAAATCGCCGGCCCAGGTTTTTTGTTTTGTTATGTTTTGGGGGTGGTACTGCAGATTGAACTCAGGGCTGCACATGAGCTGGACAAGTGCTCTATCACAGAACCACATCTCTAGCCCATCTACTATTTCAATACAGGCTTCATATTTATATTTTCAGCTATGATCCCCTGTCAGCAAATGATCTCTAGTCTTGTACCAGCAATAACCCAAGAATCTTAAAATATTACCTTACATCTATAAGTGACTTTTCCCCTAGATATACAGTACCTGTAATTTCATGGTCCCGTATCATCAGTTTTATCCAACCAGTAAACCCATTACATATTACATGTTAGTATGAATAATATTTTACTCAAAAAAAAGTGTAAAGACTGTATTTTACATTTTCACAGATCTCTTTAATGCCTGACTTAATGGAAAACAGCTGGGGGCCGGGGATTTAGCTCAGTGGTTTAGCCACCTGTCTCGAAAGCACAAGGTCCCAAGTTTGATCCCTGATACCAAAAAAAAAGAAAACAGCTGGTTTCTAATGTTTTTGCATTCAGTATGTTGTGATTTTGGAGGGAAGTAAGTAGATGAAGAAATGTGACCTCATATACAGTATGTTGTTGGAAAAGAGAAATATTTCAGAAACAATTGAGATAATTGTTGATACTCTTAAAACTTTAGATACTGTAACCAAAAGCATAAATGTAACAGTTCCTTGAAGTTTAATTGCAGTGGGATTCTGAAATCAATGAGCTTTTTGTATGCAATTACATTCAAATCTTTTGGTCTGTTTTTTGTTTGTTTGTTTTTGCAACAGGGTCTTGCTATGTAGTTCAGTCTGGGTTTGAATTCCTCCCTCAATCTCCCAAGTGCTGGGATTACAGGAGTGCGCCATCTCACTCAGCTATAACACTTACATTTTATCATTGGAACAAATACTGTCAGTTGTGATTCTTTTTTTTTTTTTTCCAGTACTGGGAATTGAACTCAGGGCCTTGCGCTTGCCAGGCAGACACAGCACCACTGAGCTACACCCCTGGCCCGTTTTGGGTTTTTTGTTTTTTTGAGACATAGTCTTGCTATGCAGTTCAGGCTGGCCTCAAACTCATGGTAATCCTCCTGCCTCAGCCTCTTGAGTTCTGGGATTACAGGGGTGCACCACCATACCCCACTGTATTGATTTGTGCTATAGTCGCAGCAGTTTTGCCCAGTGTTGCTTTTACACATTAGTGCAAGTGTCAGCATCCTGAAAATATGTAATGTCTTAATAGTGTCATCAAAATGGTTTTGACCTCTCTAATACTCTTGAATCAGCAGAGTACTCTTTGACAACCAGTGGTCTAGATTCAAAATTTCAAATAGCCATGTAATGAAGAAAGATAAGAACCCTTTCACCAGAGGGGTGTTCTAAGATTTGAGACAACAGAAGGTTTTATATACACAAGTAAAGAAATGGGCCATCTTTAAAAGTTTTTTTCTTTGAGGGGAGAGTGGTACTGGGGATTAAACCGAGAGGCTAAGCACTGTGCTCCATCTGGCTTGTTAATGGCTTTTTTTTTTTTTTTGTACTGGGGATCGAACTTGGGACCTTGGGCTACATGGGCTTTTAAAAGTAATGTTTCAGGGCTGGGGATTTAGCTCAGTGGTTCTGCCACCTGCCTCGCAAGCGCAAGACCCCAAGTTCAATCCCTGATACCAAAAAAAAAAAAGTAATGTTTCAGGGCCAAGGATTTATTTACCTCAGTGGCACAGTGCCCACCTGGCGAGCGCAAGGTCCTGAGTTCAATCCCCCATACCCCCAAAAAAGGTAATTTTATTTTTGTTTTTTTGGTTTGGGAGTTTTTGGGGGGGTGTGTTGGTACCAGGGATCGAAGTTGGGATGTTCCGCTTGCGAGGCAGGCAGCGGAACCACTGAGTTAAATCTCTGGCCCAAAAAGGTAATGTTTTAATAGGTGAGGAAAAAATATTAACAGATCATAAATTTGCATGACACTTGAGTTATTTAAATAATCCCAATATTAGGGCCAGGGATTTAGCTCAGTGGTTTCGCCGCCTGCTGCACAAGCGCAAGGACCCAAGTTCTATCCCCGGTACCAAAAAAAAAAAAAATCCCAATACTCTGGGAGGCTGACACGGGAGGATCACAAGTTGGACTCTAGCCTGGGCAATTTAGCAAGAGCCTGTGTCTGCATAAAAAATAAAAAGTTGCTGGAGATGTAGCTCTGTGCAAAGTTCCTGGGTTTAATCCACAGTACTGCCCCCTCCAAAATGCAGTTGTTTCCTTTTTTTGTTTCCTTTAATACTAAGTGACAAAGTGATGTGGAGTTCTTTGACCCAGGAATAAGCAGAAATTGACAGCAGGCCAAGCCAGGCATGGTGGCGCACACCTGCCATCCCAGCACATGGCAGGCTGAGGCAGGAAAATCACTGTAAGTTCAAGGCCAGCCTGGGCTACATAGTGAGTTGAAGACAGCCTCAACTACATAGTGAGATCTTGTGTCCAAAAAGATTAATAAATAGGGGCCAGGGATTTAGCTCAGTGGTTCCAGCGCCTGCCTTGAAAGCACATGGTCCCAAGTTGAAACCCAGTACCCAAAAAAAGATTAATAAATAAAACCAGGCCAAGAGCCAGGCATGGTGGCATACACTTGTAATCTCAGCACTTTGGAAGCTGAGGCAGGCAGGTTGCTTCAAGTTCAAGACCAGCCTGGGCTAAATAGTGAGTTAAAAGCTAGCCTGAACTATATACAAAGACCCTGTCTCCAAAAATTAAAAATAAAATTTAAAAGGGCTGGGAATTTACTTCAGTAGTAGAGCTGCCTGGGTTCAATCCCCAGCACCACAGAAGAGAGAGACTCAATGGGAAGGGGCTTGAGCTTGAGGAGAAGGGCTGGAGGGGGCATGGGCCTTACAAAACATCAAGCTGGCTCATCAGCAAAGGAAAGGAACCAGGTTTTATGAGTTTGCTGGGGTGGTCTAGGGTTGGATAATTTTCCATTGAGCCATGATTATGGAAGTTTTTTTTAGAGACTTTGTTTTTTTGTTTGTTTTGTTCTTTTAATTGAGATAGGGTCTTGCTATTATATTTCAGGCTGACCTCAAATTTATAATGAATCTCCTGCGTCAGCTATCCAGGTGCTAGGATTACAGTCGTACAGTGCCATGCCTGGCTCTGGGCCTGGTTTTACCTATTATTTGTTTGTTTGTTTGCGTGCTTGCTTTTTGAGACAAGGTCTCACTGTGTAGCCCAGGATGGCCTCAAACTTGCAGTGATTCTCCTGCCTCAGCCCCCTGAGTGCTGGGATTACAGGTGTGCATCACCACCCATAGCTTCATATCTTTACCTTTAGTGATATTCTCTATTTCTTGTTCCCATGAACAGCCCTGTTCTAATTCATTGAGGCCCTCCTACATGCTCTACCCCTGAGCCAAGTCTCTACCCCAAATCCCCCCCCCCCCCCACTTTTGTTTTTGTTTTTTGAGACTGGGTTTCACTGTGTAGCCCAGGCTGGCCTCAGACTCCTGCCTCAGCCTCCCAAGTGCTGAAATAACAAGGATAGGCCACCACACCTGGCTATAGTTAATTTTATTAATCCAAAAGTGCTTGGTGTTTACTTAGCTTCATGATGACCTGTGTGTTTTGATAGTATTTTTGCTATGTTACTTGTTTTATAAAGACTACTATAAAATTAAAATCAATGTTTCACATGTACCATATGGTAGAAGGTAGTAGCTAAAATTAAAATTTGATGGTGAAAAATTCATAAAATAAAGTGTAGTTTTCTTGTCACTGCATATTAGATCTGATGCTGACAGTGTTCTTTGTTTCAGGAAAGTATCTAAGGCAAAAGAGAATTGACTTCCAGCTTCCCTATGACATCCTCTGGCAGTGGAAACACAATCAGGTACAGAGCCTGTTTTACCAGCGTTCATTCTTATGTGGTTAAGGGCTGGACGGTGGGGAGTGCAGGTCTTTTCTTCTGCCTTTTTGTTACCATTTCAACTCACAAAATATTTTAAAGTGTCCCTGTGAAGGTTAGCAACTAAGAAAAATGAAATTACATCCATATTTAATGTGACCTATTTGCCCTCACTCATACTACAAAATAGCAGTAAGTTCTGCTTCCCTAGGCCTCCTTCTGTTGTTATTCCCCGCTTTTATTTTGGCAACAAAGATTTTGTTCTGTAAGAATTCTGTTTGATGCAAGTCTCGGGAGAATTTAGATGTATTGCCAGCACCACTATGAAATTTCAGCCTTTATTATTGTTGGCTTGTTCCCATCAGTTTGAAATTTATTTTTCACATACAAAAGATATACTTCTACTGAAAGAATTAGGGAAATGTTTAACACTGTACTTCGAAAAGACCTTTTTTTTTTAAGTATATGTTTGTAGTACGTAGTGATTGCATTAATCGTAGGGAATTGGTACACATGTACATAATACATCTTAATCCTTTTTACAGCTGCTTACCTCCACCCCCCCAAAGACCTTTAAATATTGTATTAGCTACTAAAAATAGGAGAGTCCTGTTTTTGTCTATTGCATGCCTACTTGAAAAGTTTTCCCCAGTGATTTGTGTATTGTTATAGCTCCTGGGTGCCATATTGAAAACAACCATCGAGGAATAGAAGTACTCATACAAATGGAGTGAACAGGCTTTTCAGTTTTTTAAAAATACTATCAAAGATTATCTTTAGAAAGCCAAAAGCAGTTGGTGTTCCCATTGGCCTTTCTCCCTTAATAGCCTCTCTTTAATTCTTATATCCATATGTTATGTTCTTGTCTCACATTTTAACAGTGGTGACAGTACTTTGATCATATGGACTGAAAAATGATGGTGAGGTTATTATTTCCAGCAGGTTAATAAACACCCTGTTTTAGTCCACATTGCTGTCTGTTTTTTGCTGTCCTCTATGGCTAAATACTTGCAGACTGTCTCCTAATGCATCACCCCCCACCCTATGCCTTCTGGGTTAAAATGTGAGAGCATCATTTTTCCTACCTTCCCTCTATCCTTTATTCATTAAATAATTGCCTTAATTAAAATTTGAAATGGGTTTTCCTACAATTCCCAACAAGGATGAAGGCTGAAAATAGGTACCCATCATTAAATTTCATATACCTACCCAGATCATCTAAACAAGTCCTGTGTACTTTTTTGTTTTTGTTTTTTGGTGCTGGGGAATTGAACCAAGGGCCTCATACATAATTTCTCCAGATGAATAGCTTTCACTTTCAGTGTGATTTTCATTTAAGTCTCTTCAACAACATGGTGAAGAACATCATTCAAAGCACATTTCTAGAAACTGAAAGTGGAAATAAGGACTAAAATGTGTAATAGATATTGGGAAATGGGAAAATGTTCAAATGGGAAAGGGGAAACGAGAGGAGGGAGGGAGAAAGGAAGGAAGGGACAAGAAACAAAAAGTGAAAAATAGAAGGAAAAAATGGAAACAAAGCTTTTGTACATTGGGGGAAAGGGAAAAATGAGGTAGGATGTATCATGTATAGATGCAAATTTTCTATGATGAGTTTTACCATTATGTATGTATAAAATACACCAATAAATGTGCTATTTTAAAAAAGCACAGTTCGATCCCTGGTAACAAAAAAAAAAATCCCCAAAAAAGCACATTTAGGTAAAATATGCTGCTTTGAATCAATTTCTCATTTTTAATTTGGGGTAAAAAAGTGTCATACCAAGAGTTTTTCTGAATTGTATCCAGCCCTTTGGCCAGGGATGTAGCTCAGTGGCACCATGCCTGTCTGGCAAGCACAAGGTCCTGAGTTTGTTCCCCATTCCAGGAAAAAACAAACAAACTGGGATCACTGAATTGTATCCAGCCCAGAAAATCTTATAAATATTAAACATATAAAAGACTCACCAAAGGAATAGCACACATGGATAGTTTCTTATATTTTTAGGTATTGATGGCACTATCGCATTTGAAGTTTAATACTATATCAAAAATTTTCTTTTTTCCTTCTAGTTGTACAAAAAGCCAGATGTCCCATTGTATAAAAAAATTCGTTCAAGTAAGTAACTTTGGAGCTAGTTTTTCTGCCTCTGTATCATCAGTGTTTTTAGCTGGCACTTGAAAAATTATCAGGATCTTCACAAATTATTCTTTGCTATCCTCTCAAGATGTCTACGTTGATGTCAAGCCCCTTTCTGGTTATGAGGCTACCACCTGTAACTGTAAGAAGCCAGATGATGACACCAGGAAGGGCTGTGTGGACGACTGCCTCAACAGGTACTGTAATGGCTTCCTCTAAGCACAGGCTTCAAGGTATACATATAACACTTAGATATGGAAAACCTCCAGTAACAGAAAAAGGACGCAATTTAGTCTTATGTCCCTAGATTCAAACTGCTTGCTACAGTACATCTGAGTTATTTAACCCTCTGATAAGAATAATACTTCTGCCGGGCATGGTGGCACATGTCTGGGAGGCTGAGGCAGAAAAGGATTGCTGGGAATTCTAGGCTAGCCTGGGCTACATAGTGAGTTCGAGACCAGCCTGAACTATAAAGCAAGACCCTGTCTCAAAAAAAGAAAAATAGAAACTTTTTCTTTAAAACTAAAATTTAAAATAATAACTTCTTAGTTACATGTAGTGACATATGCCTATAATCCCAGTACTTTGAGAAGCTGGTCAAAGGGATTACAAATTCACACTCAACCTGAACAATTTAGTGACTTGGTGAGACCTGGACTCAGGATTAAAAATTTAAAAGGGTTGGTGGTGTAGGTCAGTGCAAAGTCCCTGGGTTCAAACTCTAGTAACACAGTAATAGTAATACCTTATTTTTCAGGGGTTCATGAAGATGATATGCTCATAGGGTTGTATGACACAGTGTTCATAAAGTATTAATAAGAACAGTTTTAGCTGGGCATGGTGGCACATGCCTGCAATCCCAGCACTTGGGAGACTGAGGCAAAAGGTTCGCTAGGAGTTCAAGGCCAGTCTGGGCTACATTGTGAGTTAAAGCCAACCTGACACCTTGTCTCAAAAAATCAAATAATAGGGCCAGGGATTTAGCTCAGTGGTGCCACTGCCTGCCTCGAAAGGGCAAGGGCCCAAGTTCGATCTCTGGTACCAAAAAAAAAAAAAAATAACAACAGGAAGAAGAAGCAGCACAGTTTTAGGCATCTTCCTAGCTTTTGATATATGGTAGCCATAATGAGGCAGTAAAGTGGCAGTGAGAGTGAAAAGGAAGGGCGTGATATATTCTGGAGGAAAACTGCTGTCAGTATTTGGTGGGAATATGAATATTGAGTAATGCTAATGAGATGGTAATGCTCTTGGCAGTGTTGCAAGGTCTGGTGTGTGTGTGTGTGTGTGTGTGTGTGTGTGTTTGACACAGCATATCATTTTGTAATTCAAGCTGGCCTTGAATTCACTGGTTTTTTTTTTTTTTGGTACCGGGGATTGAACCCGGGTCCTTAGCTTGCGAGGCAGGCAGTGGAACCACTGAGCTAAATCCCTGGCCCTTGAACTCACTGTTTAGCACAGGCTGGCATTGAACTCATTGCATTCTCCTGCCTCAGCCTACAGAGTGCTGGAGTTGCAGGTGTGGAGCACCACACTCAGCTTCGGCATTTTAAATGTGTGCCTTTGTGTATCAGTGTGGTCCATAGGCCCAGCACTTTTTTTTTTGTTTTGGTATGGGGGATTGAACTCGGGTCCTTGCCCTTGCACAGCAGGTGGCGAAACCACTGAGCTAAATCCCCGGCCCAGGCCCAGCACTTTTAAGGACTCTGTCAGGTGCTGCACCTGCCTGGCAAACCCAAGGTCCTGAGTTCAACCCGGTACCAAAAATAAGTAAATAAAAACTGTGTCAGGCCAGGCATGATGGGGCACACCTGTAATCCCAGCATTTGGGAGACTGAGGCAGGAGGGTCTCATTGAGTTCAAGGTCAGCCTGAGGTACACAGTGAGTTCAGAGCCCACCTTAACTGCATAGCAGTACCATGTCTAAAAAAACCGAAAACAGCTGGGAATGTAGCTCAGTTGGCAAGCACAAGGTCCTGAGTTCGATCCCTGGTACCAGAAGAAAAAAACCTATCAAAAAACAAGAACTTTGTTAACCATTAGACTGACATGCAGTAGTTTACCATTCTCCTATTGTCGGTCATTTATTTCCAGTGTTTTCAAATTAAAAATTTCACTATTATGAATCTCTTTTGTGTAGATCCCCCCCGCCCCAACCCAGTACTAGAGAGTGAACCCACAGCTTTCACTGAACTACATTCCCAGCCCTCTTTTTTTGTTGGTTTGTTTTTGGTTTGGGGGAAGTTTGTTTATTTTTGAGACAGAGTCTCAGTTTTTTTTTTTTTGGTACCAAGGATTGAACTCAGGACCTTGTGTTTGCAAGGCAGGTGGCGGAACCACTGAGCTAAATCCCTGGCCCAGTCTTTTTTGTTTTTTGAGACAAGGTCTTGCTATGTAGTTCAGGCTGGCCTCGAACTCATGACAGTCTTCTTGCCTGAGGATTGTTCTCCTGAGGGCTGGGGTTCCAGGCTTGTTCCACCATACCTGATGATTTTTAAATTTTGAAACAGGTTCTTGCTAAGTTGCTCAGTTGCCCATCCTACACTGGAACGTGAGATGCTCCTCCCACAACCTCCGAGAATGCTGAGGTTACAGACAGATGCACCCATGCTTACTTTAAATTCTCTTCCTTTCAAACCCTTAGAGTAGTGGTGGTGAACCTACAGCATGCATGCCACACACAGTGGGCTGTTCATATCATTGAAAGCTAAGTTTCATCATCACTGTCTTAGAGTATATTCTCAGAAGAAAATCTGTATACAAAGTACAGTATATTAGTGCATATATGATCATATATATGAGCATTTATGCATTATATTATTAGATAACACTCAAAATACTAAGTTTTATGTTTTTTTTTGTATTAAATTCTTTTATTGGTACATTGTAGGTATACAACACAATTACATTTCTCATTGGGAATTGTACCTTTATATAATGCATCTTGGTTCT